TCTTGCCCTCTTGACATCCATTCATCTGCTAACCCATTATGGACCAAACCATAATAGTGTAACATCTCATATCTTATAACAAATAATGATCGATTTAACAACACGACCACACATCTGCTCATTTAGTTCCAGCATAAGCCTTTTAGCACCTATTGCGATAAGCTATACTTTTCCCGACTAACTACAAATTTGGTCGCGGAAGGTCACATATTTTTTGGCGACCAAAAATTTGGTCGCGAAAAATTTATTTTCAGCAACCAAAAAAAAGTAGTCGCCAAATTACTACTTTTAGCGACTAATATTTTAGTCGCCGTTGATTGAGATTTGGCGACTAAAATAATTTGTCGGCGAAATAACCTGTTTTTGCGACTAATTTGAGAGTTTGGTCGCCAAAAATTTGAGAGAAAATTTGAAAGATGGAGGGGGAAAATATATATATATATATATATATATATTTTTCAATTGTTCCTTACGCCTCACTACCTCAGGCCCCTTTTCTTTAGATTTTGCCCTAATTTCTTGACAGACCCAACAAACAAACCCAACAACACACACGCAGAGACTCTCTCTCTCTCTCTCTCTCTGTCTCTTTACCCTACCATCCGACGATCTACACAGTGAACCCAACACATCCGACTCTTTCTCTCTCCCCTCTGTCGCTTCTCTCAACCTAATTTCTGATTCCTGGAACTTCCACACCGATCGCATCCTTCCCGTAATCTCTCTCTCTCTCTCTCTCTCTCTCTCAACTCATCTGAATGTATAGAGACTGGCTAGGTTACTTCATAGACTAATAGTTCTCTTTCCAATTCTAGGGTTTTATATTTCTGTAAAAATCTGAGAAATTTGAGATTGATTATAGTTTCTGACGGATAATACTGATTTCACGGTGATTGGGGTGATCGGACTGCCTAGGGTAGGGAAGTCGACGATAATGAATGAGCTCTATGGCTTTGATGGAACTTCACTTGGTAACATATACATATATGCTCTTACTCTTCTATATATGTATATGATTTTCTGTTTAGTTCATAAGAAAGAATGATATAAAATAATACTAGAAATATGAAGGTGGTTTTGATAGAAAGCTTCTTCAAAAGAACAAATCTGTTGTGTTTTTCCCAAAAGAAACTGTAAATTTTGCATTTTTTTTTGATTTTTTTCTGATTAAAACATTGAAAAGTTTGATGGGTTTGTTCTAATTTGCTACCCTTTTTTTTTCTGATTAAAACACTGAAAAGTTTGATGGGTATGTTCTAATTTGCTATGGAGATCAGAAGGATTTTTGACTTATTTATTTATTTATTTATATCTCAGATGTATTATCCATTTCCCTTCTTAGTACCATCTAGATGCTAATGCAGCTTCCACTACAAGAAATGTGGGTTTAGACGACGTTTATTTAACGGCGTTTTATTAAAAGTCGTGTTTTATAATATTTAACGACGTTTTTTAAACGTCGCTTTTGTTTAATAACAAAACGGCACCGTTTTAGAAACCAAAGGCGTTTGAAAACGCCTTCGAAAGTCCTATCTCTCTCTCTCTCTTAAATGAGTGAGCGGGTGAATATCAAATATAATACATTCTAGCCCTAATCTCTCACTCACTCACTCACTCTGTCTCTCGTTAGCGCTCTCTCTCTCTCTCTCTCTCTCTAACCGTCTTAACGGATCAAGTCATCTCTCGCTATAGCCCTAATCGAAGTTCTCTCTTTTAATTTCGATTTCGAAATCTATGTTTCGGTGATTCTCTCTCAATTTCGAAGCTTATTTTGAATCTGAGAATAATTGTTAAAGGCTTTGTAATTATTTTGAATCCTCACGCCTTCAAATCTGACGTCTCTCTCAACCCTCTCTAAACCCTTATCATTCTCACAGATTCATCTTTGAGATTCAGAGCGATTTTGATTTTGAATTCTGTTTCGAAGCTCCACCGCCACCACGATCTGCACCAGCTCGATTTCTCTGATTTTGATTTCATCTGAATGTCTAATTTCGATTTCGATTTCGAAGCTCCACCGCCACCGCCACCGCCACCGCCGTCGCCATCGCCATCTGCACCAGCGAGGTATCGATTTCTTTCTCTCTTTCTGTCTCTCTCAAGCTCTTCCTTCCCGTCTCTCCGTCTCTCTCGATTTGGTTATTGAAATTGAAATTGTAAGCAAGAAACTACAAGTTGATTTGTGTCTAAACACATCCTTTTCTTCTTTTCTTCACTCTCTACTTCGTTGAACTAGACTTAAGTCTTTGCTTCAAGTCCGGATGTGTGTGTGTGAGAGAGAGAAAGAGAGGAGGAGGAGGAGGAGATCTCCAATCTCTTCACTTTCCCTTTTCATCTTGTGTGTATGTATATTTGGATTTATTTGTGTATATTACATGTTTGTTTATATGCCAAGCTCAAGTCGATTGAAACTCACATTGGAATGAAAATTTTAGTCGTGCCCTAATTTCTTTTTGTCGAAGCCATGATGAAGATCCCATATTTTTTTTTTTTATTATGACTTTTTATATACGTATAGTATATGTGACTGTGCTCCTATGTTGAAGAAAAAAATAAAATGGTCTTCCTTGAACTTATAGCTTTTTGTCCTCTTGATGCTCTAAAATAATTAGATGTGTATTTGATTGTTTTCTTGATTCATTGAAACAGTGACATATTTCTTGCTAGGTTTTGAGAAAGCTTGTGGATGATGCCTCCAAATTTTTGAATGATAAAGTTACTAAAGCAGTAATTACGGTGCCAGCATATTTCAATGATTTCCAGAGAACAGCAACAAAAGATGTTGGCCGTATTGCTGGTTTAGAAGTTCTGTGTATCATCAATAAACCTACTGCTGCTTCATTAGCTTATGGATTTAAGAAGAAGAATAATGAAACCATTCTTGAAATTCAGTCAGCACTGTTGTTCATGTCGTGTAACTGCGTTGTTAGTCCTGATTTGAAACCAAAAACAAAAAAAAAAAAAATAGAAATTTGAACTCTTTTGTTGGCTCTATCAATGGAAGTATCCGATCGCAAAATGTTCTCAATTTCTCTTTTTGATATTAGTTGATTTGTGCACGAGTTCTGTGGTACTTGATGTTTTTGTTGGCTTATCTTTTGTTGTGCAGTTCTTGAGGTTGGAGATGGGGTGTTTGAGGTTCTTTCTACCTCTGGTGATACGCATTTAGGAGGAGATGACTTTGACAAGGTCTGAACAAGGATTATAGTTAATTTATAGCATTTGTTCCTACTTTATATTGTTTGATTAGTTTTGGTTTAACAATTATTGATCAGTCGCTTGTAATAAGCCTGATGCACTCAAAAGTGTTGCCTTATGAGAATAGTTTCTAACTCTGTGTTTTCTTTTGTTAATGCTGCTTATTCTTATTGGCTCAGGTGCCATTCCTAGCCACTGCTGGGTCAAGAACCCGTGGCGATCTATAATCATGGGTACCGGTAATACTTCTATAATTTTTCCTCTCTGCTTATGTTTTTCTATTAATCCATTCATATTTTCATCTTTTTTAGTAGTTAACAATATTCTTGATAATTTTTTTTTTTTACAGCAATGTTATGTATCCAGAAAAGTGATTTGGTGTTTGTTTTCCATTTAAATCTATGGATAGATTCATCTTGACAAAAGGGTTCCCACTGATGCTGGTCTTGGCGGTGGAAGCAGCTATGCTGCAACTGCTCTATGGGCAGCGAATTAGTTCAGTGGTTTTCTTGCTACAGAAAAGGAACTCCAAGAATGGTCAAGTGAGATTGGCTCAGATGTTCTGTTCTTTTTCTCTCAGGGAGCAGCCTATTGTACTGGTAGAGGTGAGGTATGTCTTCAAGTAAACTGATGCAGCTCAAGATTGTCAGGTCTTGGCTTTTCAGTTTCCATGTTCATTGTTCACTATCCAATTAAAGTCCGAACCAGTATATCCACCTAAATGTCTTTAAGATCTTTCTTAAGTACTTCTTTCTTTTCATGTCCTTCAAAACCCAGTATTTCGGAGTTGAATTGCTTTGATTTGATTTATAGCATTACTGTTGACAATATTTTGAAGTTACAACCAAGATGATGTATTCAGGTCGAGTAAAGCTAGTGTGAGCGGGTTATAATGGGTGGTTAGCAAAACAAGTATGGAGAAATATTGGGAGACTGTCTGCACCATATCTACCTCAGTGATGAGAACTAAAGAGAGATTTTCTGTGGGAAGGGCAGTGGTAAGAGAGATTTGGTGAACCAAAAAAGCCTTTGATCACTTATGTTAGCAGGGTGTTTGGATAGTAGGAGGCTTGATATGCTTATCCAGGCCACTTTTATGTCATGTGCTTCCACATGCATAGATACATATGTTTGAGTTTTATATACATGCAACTTTTAGTTGCAAGAACATTCATATAATTAACCCTTTAAGGTTGACTTCACTGTTTATCGTAGCTATTTTCCTCTGATATTCTTGGAAGTGTATTTGTCATATAGCTATTTTCCTCTGATATTCTTGGAAGTGTATTTGTCATATAGCTATTTTCCTCTGATATTCTTGGAAGTGTATTTGTCATATAGCTATTTTCCTCTGATATTCTTGGAAGTGTATTTGTCATATAGCTATTTTCCTCTGATATTCTTGGAAGTGTATTTGTCATATAGCTATTTTCCTCTGATATTCTTGGAAGTGTATTTGTCATATAGTTACATCTATGAAAATATTCATGCTTCTGTTTTCATGAAATCGGATGTAGTTAGTTAATTATTGGAATTCAAATCAGGTTAGAAGGGAAACTCACCAATATAGAATCAGAGAATAAGGTCCTTCGTCAAAATCAATTAAATATAAGTATGCTTGTTTTTGGCTTCCACTTTTGATTAGTCACATAATTTAATAGACCCACTTTGTGTTATTCTTTTCGACCTAGTTAGTGTGTGTGTGTTTTTTTCTAATTGAATCCTTTACACATATTGAAACATCTTGTTTGTGTGATTGTCATTTAAGTTGGTGAAAATAAAATATCTAACATGCAAGTAATGAATAAACCTCAATGCGAAGGATGATTATGTCTACATGATTCTTTATTTCATATTGAGTGGCTTTGTTCATACAACTCTCTTCTTTAATTTCATAACTGCTATGCAACTCTCAACTTACTTTTGCAGGTATATCCACTTTGTTAAACGAAATTTCAAACCAATCCTCACCAAGGAGGCTGAAAAGGTCATTTCGAGCTATTATCAATTACAAAGAAGATCTGCGACGCAAAATGCAGGTTTTAGTGAGACAACAATCTTTTTTATGATTCCTAAACATTATCATTTTGGTTGCTGAAGTCGTGCCTTGTCCTGCAGCAAGGACAATTGTGCGTATGCTGGAAAGTTTAATAAGACTAGCTCAAGGTACATTTTCTTCCATTTTTAGCATCCATCGAGCTTTCACTCCCCGAATGAATATATGACTTGCTGTTGCAGCACATGCAAGATTAATGTTCAGAAATGAGGTCACAAGATCAGATGCCATCACTGCCATTTTATGCATCGAATCATCAATGACTGCGTCAGCAATAGTGGACAGCGTTGGGAATGCCCTGCACTCAAATTTCACTGACAACCCTGACCAAGAATGTGTCCTTGCCACAATTTTGCACGTACAAACACATATATCAACACACATGCATTTGAAAAAGAGATGGCATGTAAACATACATTACATGCATAGATGAGAAATTATGTAATGGATTGAGAGTGATCAATAATTATATTCATAATGTTAATGGATTTACCTGGCTAAGTATTCCATATATATATTATCTTGTTTTCCCTGAAAATGTGACTACTTGACTGTGTTTCGTAGCTATTAAACAGGAAAAGCTGATCCTTGGAATGCTGAGCCCTATCGATGAATTCTCCAACATAAATAGCAGGATCAACCAGTGAATGATACTAAACAGAAAGCAAAGGTGTGATGTCTGAAAGTTGATTGCTTGAAGAGGTAATATGTTAGTAACTTGAGATCCTTTGTGATTGTTAATGTTAATTGGATGGTTATAGGCAATGTATAAAGAAGTTTATGACAAGCTCACATGTGATTGATCCATGTTACATCTAGTGATTCTTTAAGGATGTATGGCCTGCAGCCTATCGTTTTGGCCCGGGTCCAGTCTCGTCTTCCTATCTCAGGTAAGGCTAGATATATGGAACATTGCTTGGTCTGAAAACCCAACCTGATTTCATGAAAACAGAAGCATAACTAAGTATTATTATTTGGATTAAAGACCCAGGATAACAATGACATCTTAGCCTATTGGTTGTCCAATTCCTCGACTCTTCTGCTGCTACTTCAGCGTACATTGAAAACAAGTGGTGCTGCTGGAATGGCTCCTCAGCGCCGTCGATCATCCTCGGCTACTCTGTTTGGAAGGATGACACAGGTAATTTAAAATTCCCATTTGAATTTCCATGTTCTGTCATCAAACGAAGTTTTGGCCCTCAGACAGGTATACTGTGTGACCAGGTATTTCGTTGATATTTTTGTCTTTGCTTTGTCATGTTTGAGTTTCCATGTTCTTTTTTTGGTTCTTAAATACTTTCAATGAAGCTGTCAGGTACCTCAAGTCTCCCAAGGTTGAAGTGCAGAAAATTGGAGTTGGAAACCTGTAGAATTAAGCTTGAATCTTTGCTGCGGTAACAATGATTGAACCTCCTAGTTTTACCATTAGTATAAGTTCATCCTCTCTCTCTCTCTCTCTCTCTCTCTCTGAGCAGGTTGGTTGTACAAAAGGTGATTCCAAATGCTTCAGAAGCGGTGGTATAGGTGCGTGACTTGGGGTGAAAAAATAAATTTCTAGTAGTATGGTAATTTCATGATGGGGTAATACAGTAGTATTAATAATACACATCAAATAAACGAATAAAATAAATTATTCGCATAATGATGAATTCAAACATAATTTCATGATGGGGTAACTGTTTATGCTATGGAGATTCACAAGTACATAAAAGAAAATTATCTTATTTTGAAGTAAAATATGGCTTGATTCCATTAGTTCTAAAATTTCATGTTTATGTGCATTGGCAGAACATATTTTGCAAGGCTCTTGGAAATTTGATGTTGTTAGTTAGAATATATATTCCAATAATGTTGTCATACATTACAACACAAGTTCATCATAGAACTTTGGCAACATCACTCTCCTCAAAACAATTTTTGCATCCCAGGGATTGAGTGTTAAAGACCTTGTTGTTCTTTTAGTTGCAGTAATTTGTCTACTTGGATGATTGTTAACTTGTTGTGCTTGCTGGTATGGCTCATTTGAGAGTTGTGTTGTTGTGTGTTTGGGAGATTTACCACTCACTTACGATGGTTGTTTTATGCTTCAAATGGTTTCATATATTTTTTTTACTAACTTGGTAATACAAAGGCAAAGCAGTGAAACATTTCAGATATTGAAATTGAACTTTTATTAGACTTTATGCAACTAGGATTAGATTGAGAAGATTTGTCAGTGAGAGTCCTAACTGTTGATTGGCTTTGATTTTGCTGTTTCTGCAATATTAACCTGGTGCTTCTCTTCTCTTTTTTCTTTTTTGCCCCTTGCAAATAGCGTGAAGATGTAGCTTATAATTCTGACTACGGAACCCCCATCCACACTCATTGATCTTCTTCCTTTCTCCAGTGGTGATGATAACTCAGCTTTAGCACCTGAGCGGTAAGCTATTACACATTAATGGGATGCACCTTGGGAGGGACCAATATAAGTTGTATGAACTTACGACACATTAATGGGATGCACCATTTGTGAATTAGCCTTAAAATTAATTTTTTGTTCTCATAATCTCAAAAAAAGTCTGTTACAGGGATAAATTGTATAATTGATCTAATTGTAAATTGATGAGTTACTAATGTTTTTAATCTTTTGTATAATTGATTAATTACTAAAACTTTTAATTTATTTTTTTGCAGATTGGATTAGAGTGACATTTTTGACGTGCAACAATGATGTAATTTGCTTGAATGTTCATTTTTGTTTGATAAGGATACACATACTTTTTGGAGTTGCACTAGTTATTGTTGGATTTTTGGTGGAATTGAACAAGTTATAACTTTTGGATATTTTGTGGATATTTCACTATTTTATTGTATTAGGATGAAATTATTTGTAATGATGAATGGATATCTTCATTTTGTTAATTCGTAAATGTGTTGATAACAGGTTAGGTTAAGTTGTGATGGAATTGTTATATTCAACAGGTTTCAACATGAACAGGGTCATATTTGTTGAACTCAGAACGACAGCTCCACCCGGTATTGAGACAGAACTTTAGATTTGATAGAGTTGCGGAAGAAAGAAAGGGTTATGAGTTTGGTATTTGAAACTATCTAAAATTTAGATTTTGATAAATAGGTATATAATGTGAAAAAAATATTGTGGAAATTATTGACAAAATTTTTCATCCCTAAAGAAGTTTTTTTTGTCTCTTATTTAGCTTAGGTGGAGGATTTAATTTTGTCATGAATTCTTTATTTCGTCGCTAAATGAATTTGTCATGACAAAAAATATTGTCACATTTTGTCACTATTACCCTCAATGTGTGACGGATTTTTTTTTTGACATTATTTCATTATTTTTATGAACGAATTATTTTTGTCTCTATTGGTAGCTTTTTTGACAAAAAAATTTTCGTCTTCGTTTATATTAAACGTGGACAAAATTATTTTGTCTTCATTTCTTATTTTTATGCAAAATACTTTGTCTCTAATTTTCTCTTTAAATGACAAAATATTTTGGTCGCTAATTACTTCCAAGTATGTTCCCAACAGAATGTATTGGAGACAAAAAAATTCGTCACAAATTTATCATTTTTAATGATGAATTTGTTTTTTGTCTCTATTGGTAGCTTCTTTGACAAATTTTTTTTGTCTTCGTTTATATTAAACGTGACAAAATTATTTCATCTCTATTTCTTATATTTATGACAAAATACTTTTGTCTCTATTTATTCCTTTAATGACAAATATTTTGTCGCTAATTACTTACAAGTATGTTCCCAACAGAGTGTATTGGAGCAAAAAAAATTCGTCACAAATTTTTCATTTTTAATGATGAATTTGTTTTTGTCTCTATTGGTAGCTTCTTTGACAAAAAATTGTCCGTCTTCATTTATATTAAACGTGACAAAATTATTTCGTCTCTATTCTTATATTTATGACGAATGCCTTTTGTCTCTAATTTCTCCTTAATGACAAAATATTTTGGTCGCTAATTACTTTACAAGTATTTCCCAACAAAGTGTATTGGAGACAAAAAAATTCGTCATAAATTTTATCATTTTCAATGACGAATTTTTTTTTTTTCGTCTCTCTAAGACCCTTTAGCGACGACCCTTTTGGCGACAAAACGGGTGACGAAAAATGTTCGTCGTAATTACTTTGGATGACGAAATATATACATTTTGGGACAAATTTGTTTCGTCTTTTAAATCCCAAATTTGTTGTAGTGAAGACTCTGCCAAAAGCATGGAGGAGCTCATGGCAAAGATCGAGAAATATGCCAGAGTAAAAGAGGACACGCCGGGAAACAAAGGCGCACAAAAAGGAGAAGAGAAACGGCTCGCCGAAAGTGAGACCAAAGTAATAGGATATAACAAGCAAGAGACCAGGACTGAGGGCTGCAACAAGCTCACCACTGTGTTCTGAATCCCGATTTACAAAGTTCTAAGAAATGATCAAGAACCAGCTGTATTACAGAGCGCCGGAGAGGATCCATGGCGATTTATGGGGAGAAGTCTAGGGAGTACTGTGCCTATATAATGAAGATGGACACTTGACGCAGGGTTGTAGAGCCCTAAAGGCACATTTGGAAGATCTGGTCAACAAGGTCACTTAAGAGACCTAGTAAATGAGGCCCAAATGAGGGAAGAACAGGCAAGGCTGCCCCAGGCACCGGCAGCACCACCCCACCAGCACCACAACCGCAGGCAGACAGACCTCGATAATCAATGTGATTCACTCGAGGGTCAATGAGAATGAGGTACGTGGGGAGACTTAGAGGGTGAAGCACTTACAACATGTGTATCAGGTCCAGCAAAAGAGGCCTAGGACAGACGAGTACCAAGGACCAATGGTGTTCCTTTACTGAGCCAACCTAGACATGGTGCATCACCCCACACAACGATGCTCTGGTAGTATCCCTCAAGATTGGAGAATGCCATAAGGCACATTCTGATTGACCGAAGGCAGCTCTTGTGACATCATGTGGTGTCAGATGTTACAAGGAAGCTCGGCCTTCACATGAGAGTTTGGAGCAAGCAAACAGCCTAAATGGTTTGGGTTTATATGAAACGTCGACATGACCCCTGGGAGCAATAAATTTGGAGATGCAGGCAGGCACTAAGAGGGTAAGCACAGAGTTCACAGTAATTGAACACCCCTTCCCTTATAAATGTTATCTTGGGAAGGCCATGGTTGCACGCAGTAGAGGGCTATTCCCTCAATACTGCACCAGTTGTTGCGGTTCCCAACGGTGCATGGAATTAGAAAAAGTCAGAGGGGATCAAGTGCAGACAAAAATGTTGCTCCATGCGGCAATGAAATCCCACCTATAACGTACGGAGAGTAGAAACAGTAAAGATTAAGGACGAGGACATGGACGTCCCGGATGACGTCGGAAAAGAGCCGGCTGACAAAAGTAAGGAAACCTTAAAGAAGAATCGCTGGCCCAATGAGGGGATGAAGAGCGGTTTCCTCCTTCTCAAGCTCAGACTTAGCCGAGAGGAGGAGAAGGAGTTAGAGTCATTTTTACGAGCAAACATAGAGGTGTTTGCCCTGGACGCCACACAAGATGCCTGGCATTGATCCCCGAGGTCACTTGCCATAGACTAAATGTAGACAGTCGGCTAAACTGTCATTCAGCGAGTAAGGAGGCCGACGTTGGTTCATATGGAGGTAGTAGAGGAGGAAGTGGACAAATTGTTGGAGGCCAGAGCCATTCAGGAGGTAAACTACCCAACTTGGTTGTCAATCACAGTTGTTGTGAAAAAGAAGAATGGGAGTGGAGGGTCTACGTGGACTTCACGCCTGAATAAGGCTTGTCAACAAGACAGTTTCCCACTCCCTAAGATGCGATCAATTAAGTGGATGCCA